CCTTGATTAATTTTCAAGGTTAATTTTAATATCAATGAAAACAATTCAATAAAAAAAACTTGAGTCAATTTTTAACTTGACAGGGAGAGGATAAAACAAAGAAAAGATGGCCAGGGGCCTGGGGGAGGCAATTATTTTAAATATTTCAATCAAAGGGGGGCAATTATTCAAGGGAGGTGATTAATCAAGGGATGGCTATTATTCAAAGAAAATATACAGTATTCATTCACTTCCCTGCAAGAATTGGATCTGATCACAACTTAGCCATGACACTGAAATAATATATATAGATTTAGCCAGGGCTAAAAGTGAAGCTCTCATTAATATCTATAGTTTACTCAAACAAAATATAAAATCGTGTAATGCTGAGTGGCGATGGCAACAAAAAGGGCCAAAAAAAATCTGTAGGTCTAATTAGCACAAAAACAACTTTGCACATGCAGCACACGTTTATTGTACATTTCATTGCCATTGTTTTGCATAACTACAACGCAAAACTTCCAGACACTTCCTTGTTACATGTTTTACCGAGGAAAAGCTTTTTGTATTCCTGTTCACTTGTTTCTCTGCTGCTCATTTTCACCTTGGTGTTCGCCAGCATTTCTCATTTTCTCACCGCAGCTAAAAAATTTTCATGTTTTTCTTTCAACAAAATTGGTCTCCTTTGTTTTTTATCTCTCACTCTAGCTCTTTCTCTGTTATCCATGTCAATGTAGACATTAAAATTAAGTCAAAAGAAAGAATTGGCTTTGTTGTTGTTATTTTTTTCTCTCTAAAAGTCTGGGTGGCTATGCAATTTAATGACGAAATGCAAGGGAGCTTGAAATGCAAAATTTCACCCCGACTTACATGAAGGGGTTGACGTACGTACAGACAACATCCGTGTATGTACGGACGATTTTGCCAGAACCAAAATTTCTTGGATGCATAGATAACCAAACTTTGTTATCCATGGTGCTTCGCTTGCAAGAGAGCTCCACTAAAACCCCAAAAAATCTTCGACTTGTATTAAGGCTTCATAACTCCTCACAAAGCAACAAATTAATATAGCATTCAAAACTGACAGAGGAAGCACCGTATGCGCGTTGGTCAGCAAAATTTTTTCAGTCACGCTACGTCAACATAACTGACACAGAAGTGACAGTGTCACGCCACCAGAAACATTATTAATTGCTTGGTCACTGGAAAGACTCGGGAAAATGTTACATAAAGCGCTCAATAAATAATAAAGAAACACTATGCAATCATAACTTAAAGCTTCAACAACGACAAACCGTTGCGATCTTTTTTAAGGTTTAGTACGTGCCTCCCTAACGTTGTCGGGACTAGCCTATGTATTTATTTAGTAGCGAAGCCTTCAACTGGAAGTCTGTGGAAGTGCATTGCGAAGGTATTTTCTCTAGCTTCGCGCTGAACGTGACTTTTTTGAGGTGGCAGTTGTCTCATCAAAAAAAGATTTTAAGCGGTTAGTCCTCTCTTATACTGGACATTACGTTGTGATTTTACGCCTGATTGAATTATATATAAATGTACACTAAGCTTTTCAGAATAGATAAGTGCTTACATTACTCGCCCAATCAGTTCTTTACCAATATTTAACACAGCTGATGCTTACCTTGCAGAATCGCAAGTCGCAGATTCGAACTGTCCAAGTCCTTGATATATTTTCCTAGGACGTGATTTAGTAGTGACGCAGCAATAGATTCAAACATTGTTTTTTTTGGAGGCCTGCAGCCAACAAACTATAAGAAGCTTAATATTTACAGAAGGGTTTCGAGGTGATATCACTTCATACCATTGCCCTTCAGAATTAAAGACCATGCTAGTTAAGGATCCATGGTGCCCTATTAAAACCCAGCTGAAAGCTGAACGGAATATTCCATTTCAGTAAGCGCCAACGTTTTCCGGGAATAAAAGTTTCGCACTCTTTCCGCAACGTCTGGCAAGACAATATTGTGGATGACTGGGTCGACTGGGTCGAGTTATTAAATGTAATGAAAACGAGGTCGCAGCTGCAGGCACGTGCCCGACCCCCGTGAGAACTTTCAAGTGATTTGGGAAACCTGCCAGTTCAAATTACTTTCTTCCCCCCTGCTTTCCTCAATTTGGTTTACCTTATTAAAATATAGTATAGTAATAAAGCAAAAACAATCGATCTGCGCTTTTGTATTAGCCTGCAAACCCAAATGAATTTCCTCTTGTCTTCGCCTTATTATCTCCACCAAAAGTAATAAAAGTAACTTGCCGGGTAGAGCCGACATACAAGTCTACATTCGCAGGCAAAAGGAGAGGGGGGTTAAAATTAACGCAATTTTTTCAAAAGGTTCTGTTGGTATGCATTTTTAAAATCTGTGTGGTATTATGTTAACATGCATTTTAAAAAAAACGCGGATCTGGATTTTAAGTTTTATTCCCAATGGTTTCTATAGCAAAGCCACAAAAGGCATTTCTTTATGAGGTATGAGGTATGAGCTCCTGGGTATGTACACTTCAATGACTGTTTATGTCAATTTTACCGTTTTATCAAATTCCCAAACAAATCCTTACAATTTTGTCTTCAAGGGCAAGGAGGCTGTAGTGTGCCTGGGTATCCTGTGCTGTAAGGAGGAACTTCCCAGGGAACAGAGGAAACGGTGTTTGTTATGAGCCATGGGACCAAGAGAACAGCCTGCGATATGATTCCACTGATCGCTGCTCTGTAATCTAAGGTTGCGCAGCCCTTCATATAGCCTTCATAGAGAAGCTTCATTTTTACAATGTTAAAAAGATAGGGACTTGGAACAAGTCTGCACACGCCACTTCGCTAGCCTGTCCATGTACAATTCTCTTTTCTTTTTTTTCCGACGATAGGCCACTTCCGAGGTCCAAAACGATTCACTTTCAAAATGAGGCCAAGCGCACAACCTTTCTTGTGAAACGAGTTTGCATGAGAATGGAAAATCATTTCCATATCACAGGCTAAGCACTTAACCTCGTTTTGAAACAGAGGCCCGGGGAAACATTCGATTGCGCGCGTGGGCGAACGCGCCGTAAACGAAGGGGAACCGCAAAATAAAAGAAGAAAGGACCATCTCTGTTCTCTTATTTCTCAACCACGAGCCCCCTTGCCCTTGCGGTCAATAAATCTCCCGCGGTTTTTATTTTCATACGCACGCTCGACGACCTATAATAGAGAAAATGGAGGGTCTGTGAAGAGGCTACCAACAGAGTACTAAAATGTGACGTCATAAAAATGAAATTTCTGAAATTATGGGATTTGTCAGGATATTCTGAAAGAACAATGTCCAAGAGGCCTACTTGCCAAAAATGAGCATTTCGGGGCAAATTGTCTCTGAGATCGTAGCCCAGTTATGCTTAGAAAACTCCATACAAACCCTTCTAAATTTTTTTGGGTCGACCCAAAAAAAATTAGAAGGGTTTGTATGGAGTTTTCTGAGTATAAACGGCTAACATCTCAGAGACAATTTGCCCCGAAATGCTCATTTTTGGTAAGTAGGCCTCTTGGACATTGTTTTGTCAGAATATCCTGACAATCCCATAATTTCAGAAATTTCATTTTTATGACGTCATCACTTTAGTACTCTCTGGCTTTTTCTCCGGAGTTCTCTGGATTGTTTAGGCTAGGCTCAGTCTTCAGCCTTAGGGTGACTCAACATCTTGATGCGCCCGCGGTGAGGAGTACCGCAGGCGCATCGAGACACCCAAGTCTGGAGGCTGAGCCTATGGATCGCCTTCCTCCAGAAAAACGTACATTTCTATTTTCCAATTTCGATCAAGGAATCAAGCGTTGAGTGTTGTCATTCCATGCAACCCTCGTAAATGGCAGCCTGAATTTCATACGATTGCTTCGAGTCGTTTTCTCCTCTCGAAGTAATCGTCTAATTCAGGCTACGTCAATGGGCCATTTGCACGATGACGTATTATTACCACTAAGGGCCTGTTTACACGGAAGTGGGGGACCACAGGTAGGTGAGGTAAAATTTGGCGGATCACCCCACCTATCATGTGAACGTGATCAAATTAAAATGAGAGATTATATAGACAGGGCGGGATACCCCACCTAAGCGAGTTACCTCACCTACCTGGGGTCCCCCACCTCCATGTAACAGGCTCTAAGACCAGAATTCACTTCGTTTTTCCTTTCATATTTTAATTTTGTAGTCCTAGTGCGGTTTATATAACAAAAGCCTAAGTAAATTTGCACAAGAAAGCAATACTTTGAAGGATTCTGGTCGTCATAGTAAAATGACGCCATCGTGCAAATGGCCTATTAAATTGGTTGATTGCTCATTATCGTCATTAACTGTTGAAAGAAGTACATGAAAATTACAAGCCAATGAGGTAAGTTTATTTACAACAAGCCCTATCAGCTTTTGAAAATACAGAATTAAACATCAGACAATACTTGTCTAACGAAACAGTGATGAAGTTGACCAGCAGTAGACTGCCCTAAAGAGCTCTAACACAAAAAACATATATTTTACAATCACTATTTAGTTTTCACAACCTTCACCTTATTAAATTTCTTGAATAACAAATACTATTTTCCTTTTTTATTTTAATCGAATAGAAACAATCCAACACGTCGTGTATTTTTGTCGACACTTCAGACAAAGCTTAGCGGTTAAGAGTCTCAATAAAACTAGATTCAAGAGAGCAAACAAGATAAGCGAACAAATAAAGTAACTTTTGCGACTGAAGTCTTAGAAAGGTGACCAAGTAAAATGACAGAAAAAATTTAAGAGATATGTCTGATATGTGTCGGCAAAAATTGCTACATTTCTTACATACAAGTGATATTTCAAGCACAATAAAGATAACAACATTCATATATGCAATCTGTGTACAAACTTTACAATGTTTACGAAATTAGAGCAGCAAAGTTGCAAAAAATAGGTATGATATCTGCAGTATAAAAGTATATATATTGTCAAGTACAAATATGCACCAAAGCAGTCAATGATTAGGTGCTGTTTTTTAGTTGATAACTGAGCGAGCCTGGAGCAATAGGCCTTTTTCCGAGATCCACATTCTCACTTTCAAAACGAGGCCAAGTGCAAAACCTTCCTTGTAGAAATGAATTTCATTTGCTTGAAAATAAATAATCATATTTATATCAATGGTTTTGCACTTAGCCTCTCTTTGGAACAGAGGCCTTAGGCATCTCGGAAATGGCCTATTTGAAAATCACTGGAGCGAAAACGAGGCAAACGGGTAAAGAACTTCCATAGTCGTAACTATCACCGGAAACCTAACTGGTATCTTCATGGGAATTTGAGGAAGACCAGCTCTCTTCAAATAAACGGCTTCTATCTCGTTCTATCTTGTGTGCTACCGAATTGTGAAGTTCAAGTGTGCTAATGAAATATCCTTCAATATTTTCCGAAATCTACTTTGACGGGATACATTCAAATCATTCCCTTGATGAAAATACCTTGACTATAAAAGAATTTGTTTTGCGAAGTTAATAGTAACAAGTTAATAGCCTGCACACGGACGTCTCTTATTTTAATCTGTATATAGGCTAAAGGTTACAGCAACTGCTGTAAATGTATTCTTCCAAAAAATGCACTGTATATAATCTAGTATAAACTTGTATAAACTTGTCCAACAAAGTCTTTGAAAAACAACTAATATATGGTACATTTTAATTGATAAACAATTTTCTGGGATTGTAATGTGCAGCAAACCAAGAGCGAAACCAATTTTAACCTTTTAAGCCCCAACATCCATATACAAATTTTGGATCATTTTAAGTTTCCGGGAAACTGCCCACCTACCCCTGCCCTAAGCCAACATTTCGCCCTAAAAGAGAAGTAAGTGTTAATGTTGGCTTAGGGGAGGGGTAGGTGGGCAGTTTCCAAGAAACTTACAATGATCCCAAATTTTCCACACTGATCTCTATACACTTATTATAGAATAAATTGAAAGAATGTGTTAAAAGATCAAAGAATTTTCCTTTAAATGATCATACTATTAATTCTCCTCACCCTTTCTCTTGAGTATGTATCGATATTGTGAGGAGAAAATTGATGTTGGTCACTTTTTGGGACTTGATAGCTCACTCATCCCTAAAACAGTTGTAATCAAATGGTGAATTTGAAAAGTTATTTTGTCAATTTAATTCATTTTACATGTAGCAAAAACATTATTCAATGTATCATTCAATTATTTTTACACTTTAGTTCTGCTGGTCAGAATCATAGAAATGACGACAAAAAAACTACGAATTTCGCGTGGCGAACAAAAAGTCTTGAAAGTAATTTGCAATTATTATCTGTATTTGTTTGTTTGTTTTTCTCTGCATTGTGATGACATCACGTTTGCATTTTCATAAATATTAATAATGATATGACACTAAAAGTTAATGGTTAACATTTTGCGTCTGTGAACGACATTGTTATATAACCACAAAGTTGAAATCTACCAGGCGCCACTCGTACCCATTCGTCTCTTATGATTCATACTCAGGTCAAGAGTCGAGGGACAAATAAGAGAAGACTGGGGATGAATGTCAACCTCTTACGAGTCTTTGATGTAGTTCAGTTTGCTTTCTGGTTGTACTGCCAAGTCGGTATTTTTCTTTCATTTGGTCATTGCATTATGCACAATACCTAGACAATTTCAATTTATCAAGTTGAAATCTCAGAACATCTGAGCAATGGAATTAACAAAACAAGAAAGCACGAAAGAACAAGATGTCATAGACCCAATGTATCTGATGAAGAACGCAATTTAAAGCCCGGTAAACTGGACTGACATGAAAAAACCGCGTAAATTCTCCCTTACAACAGTGAAAAAACCCTGGCATTTGTTTGTTTGTTTGTTTGCTTGTTTTTGTGGTGGTTACATTTTTTACCAATGTTGGATTTGTGCCTACAAATGCATCCAAATCTCTGAGGCGATTATAGTACAAAGTAAACCGTATCTAAAGAGCTTTCCTACCGTGTCATCAAAAACCCTAGAACGTAGAAAAACGTACAAAAATTCAGTTACAAAAATAACTCGAAACTACTCATTTCGGTGATTTCTTGGTGGTTCTTCGCTGTGCCAGCAGCGAGGCATGAACAGGCTTTAGCCTCTTGTTGTCAGGAGAAGAGAGTGCTGAGAAGGTTGCCTTGACTGCTTCTTTGATTCTTGAGACACTACTAACTTGGTGTAGTCTGATTTGAGGCAGCTGGTAGCGGCTTACAACCCAGGGATGTTGAAGAACCTGTATGGTGGAACGTAAAACAAGGTCAACATCCAACAAGACAATGCAGCGAGATTACAGCATAACCTCGTTAACTTGAACTTCCCGAAAACTCGAAGTAACCGCACTTTCCGTTCTGCTTAATTTTCCGATAAATTTAGCTCGGCAAATCAAATTCTCGGAGTGTCGACAGTGTCATTTGCTTCCCTTGGGAGTTCGAGTAAGAGGGGCCTTCAACAGCAAAAAGGTTAAATCCGGAGTTGAAACCTCCCCCGACAAAACTCTTTTTCTTTGCGATTAGCTTGGGTTTTCATAGCAACGATTTGTGATTGGCTGAAAGAAAGTCACGCCACTTTCTTAACCAATCAGAGGTAATACCAAAACAACTTGTGACTCGTGCACGTGTTTCCCGCCCTTAATACCCGCGACATGTATTTTATCCGATTTCTGAGTGGTTCATTGGATTGCTGGTGACGTTTGTGATTGGACAAAGTGCTAAGTTTGGATTCGGTTTAACATTACACCATCGCTGTTACAGGAACTGACTTAATAACTCTACAAATTCGTACCCAGAATCAACCAAGAAATCCCTGAGATAACTATTCAACCCACTTTTAGAATCACGTCGAAAAGTAACTAAAGTATCTTAATTCCCTGAAAAACATTTTTTTACCTGTTTTGCCGTTAGTCGCAGATGCGGGTTTACGTGAAGCATTTGTCTGACCAAGTCCTAAAGAAAAGGCAAAATGATTATGAATAAGCATATTCCCATAAATTTAGTAATCATAGGGCTGAACGAAAATAACAAAATAGATATCCAACTATTGATACAATTAGTTACCTTGGCAACATCTGACATGCTGTCCCAGGCCCCTCCAACAAGGGAATACTTTCCTTCTCCTATTCTCGCCAAGATGACAGAAGCAGAATCCTCTGGCCCAACAGCAAATGGCGTTTGCCTATGAGAGAGATAAGGAATACATTTTAAAGATGTAACATGCAATCATATGCTGCGGCTTAATTTTACAAAGAGTTCAAGAAAAGCTTTCTAACGCATGTTTTATCAACTGCAAACTATGATTTGGAAAGTTGTCAAGGTAAACACAAAAAGCTTTATTAATAGGAATTGGGGAATTTCTGTGTTTGGAAACTGAAGTTAAGGCATTGTTGTGGTAAGGTTTACAGTAAACTGAATTTGAATAAGAAGGAAAAATCTAAATGAAATCTAGTAGTGACTTATAACAAAATAACGCCATCTTGAAAAAAACCGTATTAAAACCAGTTTGACTGGGAAGGTCAGTGTTGTGTCGAATTGCATTATGGGATTGCTTTGGGGACGCTGACACTTCTTTCATTGCCTATTACGTGGTTCGGTGGAAAAATGGGTCAAAGTTCGCAAACTAAAATAACCTCATAATGCAAATCAACATACCAACAACCTGATCATGAGCACAACTTCAAAATGGCCGATGGCTTACATCTTAGCCTGCGTTGCAGACACCCTAAACCATCTGCTTATAGCCACACCAATGGTTTACGCGATACGTGGGCCGGTTGCAACGCAGGCTACTTACATGTACGACTCTAACAATCTTACCACAGATTACTGGACAACGCATGATCCAAACATTACACGTCCTTACTAGCTCCACTAGTGGAGAATCATAAAGGACCTCAAGCAAGACATTTTTTAGCGACGCACGTCTACCGGAAACAGACTTTTGCATTCTTGGCCAGTGGTTTTGCCCAAATTTTGGGGCAATTTGTCTCTATAAGTGTAAGAAATTTAGCACATATATACGCATTTGGTAGTTAGCATCAAGGCAAATTAAAGTGGAAAAGGCCTCACTTCCGGTTGATATGCATTGCTCAAAAACATCATTGCTTAATCCTTTCACTGCCAAATGTGACAAAAAGGCAAATTCGACAAAAATCCCAAATTTCATTTCGTAAAATTTTTAAAAACAAATAGCACCACATGAAAGAGCTTCCTAAGAGATTTCATTTGAATGGTCACTCCATAGGATTTTGTCCACAGACAAAAAAGTTAGAACTACATAACAAATAAATAGCACCATGTGAAAGTACTGCTAAAGAGGTTTCATTTGAGTGGTAACACCATAGGATTTCATCCACAGAATCAAAAGTACAGTTGTAAGAACCACCTCACAAAACTCCATCATTCACTCTGGCAGTGAAAGGTTTAAGTTCCCTACACCACTTTGTAACTTACCCAGCCAGCATGGTGTACAGTAGAACACCAAGACTCCAGATATCACATGCAGCATCATAACCCTGTTTCTTTAGAACCTCAGGGGCCACAAAATTTGCTGTGTAACAAGGTGTCATCAGAAGGCCGTTCGTTGCTCGGATCTGCTTGGCAAACCCAAAGTCGACTATTCTTAGTGATTCTGCAGTGCCGCTGTTATCTGCATACATGATATTGCTTGGCTTTAGGTCCCTGTGTACAACCTGTAACAACAGCAAGACATGAATTTATTTTTATGGCATAAGGAGTACTCCCAACTAATTAAGAACAAGTGTATGCATGCCGCTTAAGTTCTTAATCCTTGACCCTGGGAAAGAAATTAACAATTTATTGGTACCCTATGTCTAATTTACCCTATGTACCCTTGGTACAATTTATTGGAAACCAAAAAATTGCACTCTTCAAAGAAAACTTGATAGCTTTGGTTTGGTTGAACAAGTCACTTTTATCTGTCTAAACTGAGAATATTTGAATAGTAGCTCAGTTGTTAAAAGTGGCTTAAGTCATCTGATATAGCTGATACAAGTTAAAAGAATTGTATCCAAGGCTCAAAGGCACTCTATAGAATGACCACCACTGTATATGGTGCTCATTGCCTAGTCCCTGTACAGCGTTTTCCCAGTCTCTGTTGGTCAATTCATCTCAGTGATGTATCCAAGGTGAACGGGCCAATAAGAAAACAGATAGCAACTTACTACAATGTATAATAAAAAAAAAGTTAAACATACCCCCTCCTCATGAAGGAATGCGAACGTGCTAGCAAGAGAGTACATTATCAGTGCAGCTTCTCTTTCTGAAAGACTCCTGTGTTTCAGTATTCTGTCCAAGAGTTCGCCTCCTCTCATCAGCTCCATGACCATGAACACGTTTTTACCATCATCATAAACCTAGCAAACAGAACAATAATGATACATGAGCTTAATGTTTGCAATTCCAAGGAAGTCGATCATCTCTTTTTTCTTCAAACAGTATAAGATTCACGACAGTCACTCTCTGGATACCAAAGTACAAGGAAACCACAAAGGAAACATAAGTAGGTGGAGCACGATTGTCCTTGTGAATAAACTCCTGAATAGGACTGTTGTTGACAGTGACTGAAGTTTTAACAACCTGTGTGGTGGAAATCTTCAGAGTCAAAGTGAGTCGTATCACATCAGTTGATGGCATTCAACTCTAGTTATTGACCTGATACCATCAACTGACATGATATAACTTACATTGACACGAAGATGACAACCGCACAGGTTGTTGAAACATCAGTCACTGTCAGCAAAAGTCCTATTCAGGACTAGGATCACCCAATCATTCTCCACCTACTTATGAAATGACTCCCGGGTTCCAGCCTTTCAAAGGAATGAAACAGCACAACAAACAATACAATGTGATTAATCGTCAAGAAAAGTGGGTAATGAGAGAATGGGGAAAACGTATTCGTTCAATATAGAACTTACATCTCTCAGGTGAATAACGTTTGGATGGTTTCCATACCGCAAAAGAATCTGATGAAAAATAGTACTGCATGTCAGCATTAGCTAAAACAAGTAAACAATGACATGTAAAACCAATACTTGTGTTAAAATGTGCTTAAACCCCCATCAAGAGTGACCAACATAAATTTTCTCCGCACAATATCCATATATAATCAGGGTAAAAGGTAAGAGAATAAAACAAAATAATCATCCAAGAAATAAGCCGGTGATCATTTATCAAACCCTCTCCACTTGTTCTTTAAGGAAATGTTAGCTTATGTATAGCCAAACCCTCCCCCGGACAAAGGAAAAATGGAGAGAGGGAGCATCTACGAAAGGCTAAGAGTGACGTCACATAACACGATTCGTGCCAGATGAAGTCACGCTCCCACTCTCCGTTTTTCCTTTGTCAGGGGGGAGGGTGCGACTACACGTAAGCTAAGGAGAAGTACATACACGGAGCTCAGTGTGGAGAATTTACATGTGGACATAAGGGCTTAAAGGGTTAAAACAGACTGGCAGTGATGCATGCATCTTTACATCTCCCTGCCACCCTAAAATTAAGGTAGAAGATACCACATTTTTCTAATTCCCCACGTGCTGACACTGAAAAGTAACACCTAGCACTAGGTTAATATTCTTCATTAAATCAGTTGTTGTTTTTGTTACCTCTATTTCCTCAGTTGGGTCTCTTTTACTCTTATCGACAACCTGTTGAAGGAAAAATAAGCAGCTTTAATGTCTGAAACTGGACTGATTGCTTTATTTAATGGCCAATGACAAACTCAACCCACAATAACATGGGGTTTGGATAACAGGACTTAATCTAGATGACATTCGGGGTCATCACTGTTCTGTCCCTTACACCCCTATCATTTGACTGTTAAAGGGAGTATGTTGATTTCAGTAAATAATTCATAGAATATGTGTGGAGAGAAGAGTTCAAGGGTGATTTCAGGAAAAAAAATTTCCTGCAAACTGAATTGGTGCAAACAAAATATATTTTTTTTTGGTGGAGGCATGAGTGGCTAAGCAGTTAACGCCTCACACTCCAGATCTGGAGGTCCAGGGTTCAAGTCTCACCCGTCAGGTTGTTTCCTTACACAAGGAACTTTACTCCAATTTGTCTCTCTTCACCCAAGTGTATAAATGGGTACCAACAACATACTGCTAGGGGTAACCCTGCAATGAAGTAGCATCCCATCCAGTGGGGAGTAGCAATACTCCTAGGCAAACTTCATGCTAAGGAAACCGGGACAAGCTCCGGCCTTTGACTTGTATTCGCCTTTACCTTACCTTATTTTTTTTTCATATTCCATAGGCTTGTTAGTCATATATTTTTGGTAAAAAAGTCCTGCCCAAAACTGAGCCCAAAATAAATCACCAAACTCCCTTACCCACCAAAAAGTTCCTTCGTGGTTTTCATGAGATTTTTGAAATGGCACAGCCCTTACGTACCTTAACAGCATACTCCTCTCCAGACACTTTGTGAATACATTTTCTACATACTGAATATGACCCCCTTCCAATTTCCTACAACAGAGGAAAAAAGGACAATTACCACTAATTTACTGGGCACAAGAGGAGGAGTGAATACAGTTACTAGACGGGTAGATCTCCTATCATCTGCATTCCACCTATTTTTCTTGTTTGGCTGACAAGTATTTGGGCCCCTCACAGCCAGAGAAGAGTCTCTGAATGGCAAAAAAGATACTTGGGTCAAATTTATCATGTTTTGCCTATTTCCATATGTGACTTTGCTCTTGGCTATGGCATTTTAAAGCATTTGCCAGAAAAACGATGAAGTGTGATGTGCAACTACAACCAACATTATTTTATACAAAATTCACCTGCTTAATTTCATACTCCTCAAGGATTGATGTTGTCCTAATCTGAAACTTTGTCGGTACAGGCTACAAAAGAGAGAGCAAAAATAAACATGAAGATTTTTCCATAGACATAAAATATCTAATCACAGGAGACAGACTGAAACTATTTTGACCACCACGATTACAATGTCTTTATGTACATCCCAAACAACAAATATAGAAAGGACAGTGGTGGGTATACTTTTGTAACAGAAGACATTTACTCCAATGATAAAAATAAAATTAACTTAAAGTTGTCTTAAGGACACAGACTAAGTGAAAACATTGATCCAAAACTAGCAGAACACCTACTTTGTGGTCTGTCTCCATTTTGTCTGATCCGTTGGATGTCAATTGTGATTGCTCTTCCTGTTTCAATAAAACATCATTAGCTACATGTATTAAACCATTTACCCCCTAGAGATTTCCCCCCCAAAAAAATCTAGTCAGCTCCAAAACTACCCAAGTTGAGTACTAGGCTGGCATTTGATCCTGATTCTAAATTACAGCCTCCAAAATCCACAAATTCTGTAGTCAGTATGTAAGAAGAAATTTCCCTGAGACAAAGTGCTTCATAACAACCTCATTCATCAATTTTTTTGGTAACCTCATTTTTTCCTTACCATAAGCTATCATAAAATGTAGAATTTCTCTTGATGCAATAAAGGCTGTTGTTGTTGTTGTTGTTGTTGTTGTTGTAATTGCTGTTGTTGTCAAACAATCATGTAACACTTTACTTACTTCTACAAGTGATGGGTCAACAAAACTAAATCCTCTGAACAGCTGGTGACAAGTGGCACTGGGAGGGACGGCAGGAGAATCTACACAAAACAACCAGAAAATGAAGATTTTCTTATAAAGGAAAGTAGAATAGTATTAGTTTGCATTAGGGAGAGTTTGAGGTGAGCAAGTTTAGATTGAAAGGGCTTTAGTTCACTGCAATATACAAAGTTAAATGTATGTACATGTAGTTGACTACTCAGGCCCAGTAGGGTAGTAATGTGGGTCAAATTCTCAAGATTAGTACCAAACAGGAATCGTCCATGAAGGGGTAGGATAAGACAACTGAAAGAGCAAATTCCCTGAAGTTTTAACAGTTATAGACTTCCTATTATTAATGGTTCTTAATTTTGCAGGTACTTAATTTCACGATTTTGGCAAGACAGTATTTTGCGGGGTTTTGTTCTCACAATTTTAACAAGTAAACATAAAAATAGGGAATTAAATTTCGTGACTTAAGTGTTCCCAACTTCATTTAAAAGTCTGAACCTTTAAGAAAATTAGATAAACTCAAACAAGAAATGTTTGAAATCTTTGCAAACTAAGGTCATTTCAAAACAGAGGATACATAATGGAGCTTACCAGTAAAACCAGAAAGCAATTTGTGTTTGTCAATAAGTACATTTTTGTATCGTTGCTATTACATGTCAACTGTTATTTGAATTTTCTATAAGTGTATTAAATTTCACAGGTCTTTAATTTTGAGATATTTTTACAATTGCAGGAAACACGAAATTAAAGACACACAAAATTAATTACCAATAAGGTAGTAAAAACCAACTGTTAGGGAGCGTGGGCAAGGTTTCAGAGGATACAACACTCTTGCTCCAACACTGATGATTGCCGGCTTGCCAGGATTGCTCGCTTGTCTTATCACAATTAGTTGTTTTCAATTTATCATTAACTTAATTGGCCAACAGTAAATAATAACAGGTAAACACAATGTACCTTGAGGTGTCTTGGAGGTGAATTCAGGATCAAAATAAAATGCATCATCTGCTCTTCCAGCAGCAGGCTTGAATGGCGGTTTGAGCTCTTTTTTGAATAATTTCTGTCATATAGAAATGAAAAAATTTCTAGTCACACAAATTACAAAGGTCACAGAGAAGAAGAGCTTCACAAAATCATGGTTCAATGCACAGAGCACAGATTGTTGCTTTAACCTGTCCCAATGTCAGGTGACTTGTCACTCAAACCTAAAAATGTACTAAACATCCACATACAGGCTGGTTTGCCCAACATTGTACTTTTTTGTTACATGTACATCAAGAACCTTTTAGCACTATTTTTCAAAATTACACCCAAAAAAGTAAGACTGATGGAACACAACATACCTCCCAGTCGATGGATTTAAAGAAATCGTGAGCTTTGATATCTTCTATACCATTCTCACCAAAACCTAGAAAAACATCAGATGTAGGAATATTTAACCAGCACCATGAAAGTAGCTGACCGCTGAAAACCCACACTGTACATGCCACATAAAACGACTGATAACACCTGTGAACTCCTTACTTATGACAGAAAAAGGCGCCTATCACATAATATAGCTCAAATGCACATACCAAGTACATCTCCCAAAGCATATCTAAAATAACCAATGACAATTATTCTGGGAGAAAGAACTTTAGATTTGGCTCAGACAAGGCAAAGAAAATAAAAAGGTTTTGATCTCCCTGCCTACTGCTACTAGCTATTATTGTTAAATGTTAAAATTTTTTATTTTACCAACAGTGTTGTTCATACTTTTTGGCATGACACTTCAAGCATAGTAAATATCTAGTGAAAGGAAAGCCCATCCAAAGGGAACTGGCAGCAGGGACAATGAAGATTCAATTCAAGCTACTGTGTAGCTCAATAGTTAAATATTAAATATTATTTAATAATATTATGATCAAATATTAGTTAGCAAGCACTTCGACTCCAGTCATATTTTGTGGAAGAATTTCTTCAGTTTTATAAGTTTGTACTTACTTGTACTTACCTAATCTATTTGCAGGGTTTCGCTTGAAAAGCTGTCTTAGTAAAAATTGGGCATCCTGTGACAGAAATTGTGGCATGCCAAGCTTGGCCCTGTTGTTACCAAAAAAAGATTAGGTTACAACTCATCAGTTAGATTACACTTGCTTCTTTTCCCCACCAAAGCAATGCAAAGCATATATTTCACTCACTTTAAGATCATGTTCATTGTATCTTTTCTGTCTTTGCCTTGAAATGGCAGAGCTCCAGTCAGCATCTCATACTGAAAATTTACAAAAGTGAAAACTATCAGATTTTGACATTGCAGTTTTTCAAGACATGGTAGAAAGGTCAACACCTGATCCCAAACAAATGCTGGGTCAAAAAGAGCTGTAAATAACATGGTGTTGTTAAACCATACTGTACGTAAAAAAAAGGCTTTGTAATGTGGTGTGTGGCATCCTAGTTGTTTCTCTTCCCACAAGTTCTGAAACTAAGTTTCACTTAGTCCAAGCACTTTGTTTGGCTTTTGCCCTTTGCCAGCATGGCGAAGCTGCTTTTGTTTGCGAGACACAGCTTCTCTGGCCTTTGCAAACTGTCTGTCAGTGAGTATACTGTAATGTTTTTTCTTTTTCCCCCAATAAATGGTCGAAACTCTGTAACAGAGACGTCAATGTGTCAGGTTCATATTTGTCCCCGTTTTGCTTAGCTATGTTTAAAACAAAGTGAGCTAAAAGTTTGTCAAGTTCTTGCTCTGATATATGTTTTCAAGAGTTCTTGTTTTGCTAAAAGTTTTTGCCCACCTGCAAAATACGTTAAGGTCACTTTCTGTCTTCTTAGTTCTGTTTTTGTTTCAGTTGTCAGTAATAAAATTGTCAATGTCTTCATCACTGAGTTGTCCAATTTCTGTTTGTTCTGTCTGTTCAGTTAAGTCAGTTTAGTCAATAAAAGTTCCTGGTCAGTAAAAAAGTCAAGTCCAAAGGGCCCAAACAAGTCAAATTAGGTTCGTCCGCCGGTTCGTTGAGTTCAGCCCTAGTTGCTCCTTTTGCATCCGCCGGTATTCACTCTGTTGTAAACTGGTTAAACCAGCACACAACAGTGTATTACGGCCTCGTATTTTGCGCGCGTTCTCTTGGCCTTATATGGTAAAATGACATAATAGTGTCAACTATTGTGACTTAACCCTTTAAGTCCCAATAGTGACCAACATCAATTTTCCCCCAATGATATCCATACATTGTCAAGAGACTAGGTTATGAGAATGAATAAAATGATCACATAAGAGAAAATCGCTTGATCTTTTATCAAATTCTCTCAACTCATTCTTCAAGGAAATATATAGAGATCAGTTTGGAGAATTTGTAAGTGGATATTGGGGCTTAAAGGGTTAAACTGTACAGAAAAAAGCGTTTTTCATACCATGAGAACTCCATATGACCACCAGTCTGCTGCTTGTGAGTGGCCTCTTCTGTTTACAACCTACAATAAATTGAACATTCATGAGTAACTTACATTTCAAAGAATGTAACTTTCTTATGGTCCTCTCAACTCTTGTACTACAGTAAAAACCCGCGTATAAGAACCTCGTGATTTAAAAACCTACAGGCTCAAATTTTGCATTTTAATACCCAAAAATATAAGAGCCTATTCAGCTTGACAAAGAAAAATAGGTTCTTATATAAAAAAAACACTCCAGGCCCATGATACAGGACTTGTTTCGACAACAAGGCTCGACATTTTTGTAAATGCTTTACAATTATAGCATAAGTACTATTGCAGATCAATGAATGCTATCACTATAATAACTTATGCAAAAATATAAGAACCTACTAAGAACTTAATCAGCCTGTTATTGGAAAAATACCCCAAAATATAAGAAACTGTTCAGCCTGACCTCCAAAATTCTAGGTTCTTACACGTGAGTTCTTACTGTAGTCTACCACCTTGGGTCTTATATTCATGCCTACAAAATAATCTTGAACTTCAATTCTCATTATGAAAAGCACACTCCAAGAGAAGTAAAAATTTTGTCATCCCTTGCAATGTATTTAAAAAAACTTTGAACATCTTGGGAAATCTGTTGGGCATAAAAATCTCCACACCCTTTGACTCGCTGTTGCAAATGTTTACAGGTGCACGTGTACATTGAAGAATATTCACTGAGTTCATAAGACTCTCTTATTCCCCTGAAGCTTCCATGATCCAGAAAAAACTTGTTGTAACAGAAGAACCACCTACTCACCAAAAAATCTTTTAAAGTGTAACAATAAATCCTTCGTATTACACTACATGTATATGATGATATTAATTTCTGTTTCTCAACGTTTTTGTTCAATAAAAACATCATAATTATTATTAGGACATAAAATAAAGCAAATGTGAATAAATAAGGGAGCCATACTCATAACCGTTTGTTCTGGAATGCATTTTAAGGCTAACTAAATAATTGAAATTCCATTATGGGAAAAGAGGGTGGCCCCCACTTCCCCAACCCACAGTACCCCCACACATGGGTGTGCCACATGGAAAGCACTCTGCACCTTTCAATCTACTTTGCTGCCACCTACTCAAATTTTATCACCTTCCTCTTAAATTCCAACAAATATGTGACCTACCTCTGGGGCCATATACTCCACTGTTCCACAGAATGAATAAGTCTTCTGGTCATATTCAGACTCTTTTGAAAGCCCAAAATCTGAACCAAACACCAAGAAAATATCAATAACAAAATTTATAATAAGCAAGCAGATAGTGTATGTGTCATTAAAAAAAAAACAGATCAAGTAGACAAAAACGAGGGTGTCTACACTTTCTGAAAACAACTTTTGCAAAGTAAGCCTTGCACAATTGAAGGGTTAATTTAATTCAAGCTGTCTAAATGTACAGTTTATTCTGGGTGTTAACCAAGTATTGAAAGACACAAACCTGTTAGCGTGACGTGGCCAGAAGCATCTAGTAAAATACTGAAAAAAAATTAAAGATTAAGAATTAAAAAAGAAAGGTTAAGTGAAACATTCTATCTATTTCCGGTATAATACTGAATTCAATGCTATACATTTTATATTGATGTGATGATGTTTGATACTGCTTTACAATGACTAAAATATAAAGTCGATGTAGTCTGATGATACAGAAAGCTATCAACTGTATAATTTTAGATTGCACCTTATAGCTAGGTATTTTACATAGCTTAATTTTCAGTTTATCAAGTTGAAAGAAATCGTGTTGAAAAGTTTGAGGTGCGTCATATGGTACTTGGATACTTAGAAAGAGTTTTGGATTGTTATGGTGGTGTATGTATATTCATCAATTATATTGCAGAGAAAAAATGTTTCAATTTTGTCTACATGCATCATCTATTTTTTAAACATTAAATACAAGATCCCTTAATCAGCTTACATTTGTACATGATCAAGACCCTCATATAGGCAAAATTGTCCACGCTGTAATCATTTTGTTAGCCATGGTGAATATAATTATATAATGGCAGCTAATTTGCCACCTTGAGATTTAAAATTAATTTGGCAAGTGACCAACTGCACATTATTAAATATTTTTAAATTTGAGAATGGGTGGTTATTTTTAGCTAATCCTTTTCTGAATACATGTATCATCACCAAGCAACCAAGTTAATTATGGTCAACACACATATAATAATATACCAGACTCAAAATATTAACTCGCTTAATCAATGTTCCACATGGGAAACAAAGACTCATGAATAAAAACAATGCCTAAACTCTTAGTTAAAATTATTAATTGCTCACCACAGTTCAAGGTAATCCGAAAAATAAGAGGTTTAGACCACAGGCAAATTGTTGCGTTGGACAACATACATGTACATATAGGTTTAGTTGCTAACCAACTTATTCAAAACCTAAAAGTAGTGCTCAAAATAGGAAACAACTTGGCAAGTTAATTTATAATAATATGTGGTGGTTCAATTATTATTCTTTGGTTTAAGGATTTCAAACCACTTTGGTTTTTCCTTAAGTTTGTATCAATCTATTAAAAACAAAGGAAAACGACAATATTATTTTAACGTAGTTTTGCTAATTTTAAACCAAAAAAAATTATTTGAACCACATCAAATATTTGTGAACTATTTCAGGAAATGTTATGCATAACATACTTTTCTGGTTTGAGATCTCTATAAATAATTCCTATTTTGTGAAGATGATCCAGTGCTAATGCTAACTCAGCAAGGTAAAATTTTACATCTTCTTCAGTAAACATTATCTGCGGAGAAAATGTATTAACCACTTGGTTTGTATCCAAACAGTAAAACAAAAGGATTACACAAACTTAATAGTAATATTGTTCAATTAATATCATTAGATAAACCCTTCTATTCGCAATAGAGGCCATAAAGGCAAAAATTCCAAATCTTTCAAATTACTTCTTTTCAGCATGCAAAGAAAGTAGTGTTCGATAGCCTGGGGCTAGTGGATTTTGCTATCGGGCTAGTGAAATCTGTTTTTAACTTGCCTGACGGGCAAGTGATGTTCTTTGAGGAATTCGAAAAACAGAAGAAGTGCGAAATCAATTCTGCTCGACGAAAAGCTTTTGGGGCTAGTTGAAATGACGTCAGGGCTAGTAAATGCTAGCTTCAGCTTGCCCAAATGGCAAGCTCTAAAAATGATTTTCTTTGCACCCTGCTTTTGTAAAAATCCTATTAAATAAATAGAACCATGCAAGAGATCTGTTAAAGACATTTCATTTGAATGGTAACCCAATAGGATTTTGCACACAGAATCAAAAGCTAGATTGATGATTCATCTCTCAATAACATGGTCATCATATGGTGACATAGTAACAGATTACTGGTTACACAATCCAAAAATTAAATACAGGGTTCTCATTAAGTGCCCGCAACCGGCCAAAAAACCGGCTACTTTGAGGTCTGAGCCATCTACTTTGGAGCGCACATGGGTAAAGTGAAAAAGAGAAAGCCTCAAATTGCCTACAACACTTGACTGCCAAGCTGCCTGCTTTCACATCCTAGCTGTCTACTTTAAAACTTAATGAGAACCCAGTAAAATAAAATATCACAGGAATTAATTCAACATGCAGTTTTTTTGTAATACCTCATTTTGATCCAAATTTTCCAAAACAACTATATCATGACAGAGCACAATACTATAATTATTTATATGAGGAGCAGCAGCATATCGAGTGCATGGGATACCATGACATCTTCATGATCAAATCGAAGGGGAAGTAAAGGAATCCACACTACCGTCTCAAAAGAGAAGGGGACATTTCCTAATGGTGTGCAGGGCTCAAAGTTGACGACTAACTGGTCACCTATGCCACTGGATTTTTGGTTGTGCACCTAAAAATCCATGTGTAATCGCACCTGTGCACCATAAAACCCAAAGCAAAGTGCAACTGACCTGCTTCCGACCATACTTACGTACTCAAACTAGAAAGACGCTAAACAGTAACTTCAAGCAATGAAAGTAAAACGCAACCAGGCTCTAAGTTACATTGTCTTCCTTTCTGTCCTTTCTCCCAACAACAGTCCAAACAAAAAGAGTGTGGATTAAAAGCCTTTTTTTAATCAGGGAAGAAAGTTTTTAACTCATATTCCAGTTACATGTAAGTCATTGCGCTTTTAACAAATTCATTAAAGACAAATTTTCATACTTGTTTGACGTACTCTTTTTTTGTTTTGATTTTTTTTCAAGTGTAAGTTTTCTTTGGTCACAACTGTACTGTCAAAAAGAGAAATTAGTACTAAAAATCACGATGGTATTACTGTGCAGCAAATTGGCTGTGTTTTATCAATCACAGGACTGAAATAACAGTAACAAACTGAAAATGACATATAAAGTGGCGCTTCTTCTTTTGAAATAGATGCTCCCAACATTGTAAGCTGTGCTCCTAGAATTTTCAGCTATGCGCCTAAAAATTTACATCTGGTAGCACAAGCGCTCCCCAACTCAAATTTAAACTTTGAGCCCTGGTGTGGTCTAACTAATACATCTCATTCACCTCGTGGCAAGGGTCAGTAACAGTAAGATCATAAACAGACTGATAGCAACTGCCAGTGGTGCTATTGTATGCAGACATCGAAGCTTAATGTTAACATGTTACAGTAGAATGTAAAGAGGGAACATCTTTAATCAACTCATTTACAAAATTATTTTCATTCATTCATCCATTCATTCATTAATTTATTCATGACAACTTAATTGAAGGTGAACATTACACAAAATTAATACCAGCATGAAGTAAATAATAAAGAGCAGTGGTGGCGCAAGGTAAACTATTAAGGCTTACAAAGTATTACATGCACATGTATGTTACTCACCTCTTTGGAAAGTCTTGTAAATAAATCTCCTCCTCTTAGAAAATCAAGTATAAGGTACACTTTGCCTTCTGTTTGGAAAGCTAACATTGAAATAAACAAAGTAACACTTAGATGTCAACGATCAATAAGTGTAAGTGTGTGACATGATAAACTGTTAAATACTCATTCAAATTTGCTTTGTGTATGCTAAAAGAGAGCTTGAACTCTGATCAGGAGTTGCTAAGCCTCATTGCATTCACCTTTTATTATTTACTCAGTGCTGTAGTTTTAAATTTTGGAGAGCTAAGTTGTTGTTGAACAGTTTTTTATTAGCCAATGACAACAGTTCTTATGTGCCAGTAAAATAACTTTTACACCACTCTGCTTAAGGAATTTCCATTTGAAAAAGAAAGAATTCTGTTAGATTTTTAAGTGTTCTAAATCTCAGGGTAAAGCTGTTTCATTTGCTCATTTGAATTACTCCAGAAAGCAAATGCCAGAGTACTTTGTTTTTCTTTTAATACCACTTTGCTCCCAAGCTGCTGGATGGAATTTACCTATGAATTCTACGAATACTTTAAAAGGTTGCCTTCAAAAAGCCACCACATAGTAGCTCTCAATATATTACTGAATTAGGATATTATATTACAAGTAAATGGCAATTTCACAGGGAAAAAAAGCAAGAGCTACATGTGACGTGGTTGACAAGAAGCATTCCTCTCTACGACTTTCCCAACTATGGCTGCTTATAAGATTTTCAAGTTGCTTTATAATACGGTACAATATACAAATGTTAGTGTTGTCATTACAAGATCTAATCAGGATCACAATAGAAGGAATTAAATTTACATCAGAGTTTTACTCTAGTAAGGTCAAGAGCAAACGAGTAGTCAGAGAGAGGAATGTAAAACAACATAAAATTTGAAAACCAGCCTCACCATAGCGAAGTTTAACTATGAATGGATGTTGAACATCCACAAGAATATCCCTTTCTTTTTTCGTTCTTAATCGATCACGAACTACAAGAAGAAAAAGAGCAACAACCATAAAATAAATGCGCATACAGAAAGGGCATTAAGTCAAAATACCCAATATTACAGAGATATAACTCAACAGATATTGAAAATCTGATTTGTGATAAAATATAAGCTTAGATAACTTAACGCATATTTAGCTACATTTCGAAAATCTACATTTCTACGGACGCTAGAACGCTGAAAGATATTTATCGCCCAAAAGCCGGTCAAAGTCGAAGACAGGGCCTATTACCATCAATATCAACTTTGTACATTTCAGCTTCTTCTCACGCAAATAAGCTTAAATTTTCAACCTGTTCTTTAAAACCCTAAGATAAAGATAATTGTTTTCCAGAATTTGAACTTTGAGGTAAAAACATCTTGAAAATCTCAGGGCGACTAAACATTCACGAGCAACAACAAACATAATTTTTAACCAGCTTAAGTTACCTTTCAAGGTCGCCTTTTTGAGAACTTTCATTGCGTACAGATTTCCTCGGTCCGTATCAGTTAATTTGCGCACCAAGAATACCTGAAACAAGGCGGTTTAATGACTAAGTAGACAGTACTAATAAAACGTTTTCCTCCTATTTAACATAATGATGAATAATGGTTAAACTGCAGGAGTGTATAAACAGTAAAAGCAACAATGAATAAAGATAATTTAAAGCGCGAGAAGGTCAATAAAGCCTTGTAGATTGCAGCACTTCGCTCAGTAATGGCGCCAATGATCAAACGCGCTTCAACAACAGTTACCCTAAAAAAAACACTAAAAAATGCAGCTGCAAATAAAATTGAGTTATACGAAATTACCTTGCCAAAAGAGCCTTGTCCTAGGACTTTGAGTAGCTCAAATTGTGACGGGTCTGCCTTCAGACAGGCTTTTGAGTTGACGACTTCCTCAGATACATCGATGAGGGACGATCTCTCTTCTTCGACAGGCTATGCACAGAAGAAATTTCAGTGAATTCAGGATTGAAATTTATGAACTAAACACATAAGCTTGACAAGATAGTCGGCAATATGGGCAGAAACCAGCTTACTCCGTTTTTATTTACGTCGGTCATTTCTTCGTCTGCGACCTGAGAAAACGGAAATTTGAAAAAATTCGAGTGAGCTTCAATCTTTCATTCGAAATTGAAAAATTCGGGGATGCTACAGCAGAATTTGAAGAAATTCACCTCCATCTCCTCTTCCACTTTCATTTTCTGCCAAGGGTCAGCTAAATGCACCAAAGGCATGGTGATTTTCTCAGTTTCCCTCTACAAAATCACTCTCCTCGTAATCCGACCTTCAGTCAACATGGTCCTGCTCGATATTTCTTTCAGAACGAGGCTAAAGCCACGCCAAAAAATGCGTCTTTCCACTTACCGGAAGCGGAAATGCAGCAGGCATTCGCGTGATTGATTAACCCCGAGTTATGTTTATTTAGAAATTACAGTACTTTTTTTGTCCAAACGTCTTCATCCAAGCACAAATATACAACCGAGGGTCAATGCAAATTGCATAAGCAAAAAAAAAAATTAAAGAGTGTGGTGTCGAGAGGAAGTCGAAGAGAAACTAAAAGTTTTTAAAATTTCACTTTGCGGCAAAGCAAAAATGCTCAGCTGTAACCGATATTACATCAAAACTAAAATTATCTAAGTAACAAAAATTTAGAATAATTTCTTTCGTTTTTTCAAAATTATTGACTTATACTTCATATTTTATATATCAAGTTACCAAAACTTGGCAATGCTAAACTAAGACAAGTAACACACGTCACGTTTAAATATATCATTGACGCGAATAGAATGTAAAACTAAAGTCTAAATGTCAAATAAATCCTTGTTTATATTATTTTCAAAAATGTATTATAGTAGGAATCGAAGAAATTATTCAATAGTTGAATCCACTAGTTATTCAGCGGTTGTTATTGAATTCCAAACTGACCGTCGATTGCGAAATAGGCTAAATGCTATTCAATCGAGCGATCAATAGCCTCAGATCATATGTAGCTACTGAAGGTCCATTCTTAGATCTCGTTTGGTACCATTGAATCATGAATCGCTTCGAGCGCTTCCTTGAACAATAAACCTAAAAATCGTCTTCTTTAGACAAGAGGCTAACGCTTTAACTCCTTTTCTTCACAAGACATGATGCAATATATAATATGTAATTTATAACTGAGCTATTAAAGATCTAAGCAGAAATTTATAGAACACTGTCTCAATGAATCCTTTCTCGTACCTTGTTCACCATCTCTCGAATTTCTCCGAGGCTAGGCAATATTTCTGAAGTTTTACTGTCTATTAAAAATCAACCACCGCTTATGTATCCACTCTTTCCTCAATGTTAAATGTCTGTGAATTTTGAAGAAGTAGTCCAATATGATCTTGTGATGGTCCGGCACGTCTCATAAGCGACAAATGTCGTTTGAGGATCGATGTATGTTTTGTAGTCATACAGAAATTTGCATAGAGCTTCTCATCACTTCCGGAATCTTCGATGACGTCATCGATAGCCGTACAAAGTTTGAGCTCGCGGTTTCCGTCTGAGGACAAGAATCTATTCACAACTTACTGGAATTAATCCAAAGAAAAAGACAGTTGTTTGACATCAATGAGCATTTTAACCACAAACAATGTGATTTTTAGCATTATTAGAAGCTTGATAACCAAACTATTACAGCCAAGAAAGGAGACAACAGCTACAACAGTTTTTTTCGAAAGGTCATGACCCCAAAAACGTCACACCTACACTGTACAAGGGAAACATATTTACTTTGCTCTGAAAGGAATTAATTGCATATGTCTTATATTTACCCATAAAAGCCTATATTTAACAATCGTACGTTCTGGGTGGCGGAGGATCTATTGAATTTGGTGAGTTAGATTCACTTTTTGGTGCTGTAGGTATAAGAAAATTGACAACTACTTCCTCAAAGTGGAGTCCTGAGTCGAGATAAGAATGAAAGGTTGAAATGCATAGAAGCTGGAACGGTAGTTACTAAAGCACTGACAAATATAGCATAATGACGGAATTTTGCTAACACTCACCCCAATTATGGGTAAAACAATTACGCGCGGTCAGTCCTGGTAAGTCTAGCAATGAGTAGTTCCTGTATTTCAGTTTTATAGCAAAATGTGGTATACAATTTATTCTTTATAGGTAAGTAATGAAAACGATATCAAAGCGATATAAGGAAGTAAGTAAGTAAAGACTTTATTTTATGAGGGTTAGCACGAAATAGCCGGGGCTAATAAACTTGTGGCCCTCCAAATAATAAATAAGTAATAAAATAATAAATGAGTATACTACGCTACAAAAAATACAAGGTAAAAACCAAAGAATACAGATACTATATACTAGTGTACTCCGGGATACTATTCTTTAGTAAAATCCAGCTAGTGGTCTATTATCAATGCTGCCTTCTGATTGGTTGAGCTACTACTAGGCTATATGTGATAGCCCACTAGTAGCGAGAAGCGCGGGCTTTTTGGCGACAAAAAGGATTAAAGTCTAGCTTTAATTAGCTAAATTTTTTTTATTCTCGATATTTTTGACCAACTAGTTGGATTTTACTAAAACAATTATTCCTCTCCCCCTCATGGCCTCTGAGTCAATAGCCCATTCGGCCTTCGGTCTCATGGGCTATCAGCAGAGCCCATTCGGGCTCGACGAATAATTGTTAAATATCTCGTTCTAAACTTTAATAAGTCTCCGATACCTTCAAGTTGATTAGCCATTAAAAAGGAGAACGCAAGGCATAGCACCGACAAATTTTGTTATTGTGGCTGATAATTTGAAAATAGCTGGAAGGAAAACAATTAAACTTCTCACAAACAAATTGCCACAGTTTTCCTGTTAGCATGACAGCGGTCCGGGAAGAGAGTAAAGTCACCACCGCACTTTGATGATTGGTGAGATTCTTTGGATCGCATTACTTGAATAGCTGGTTGGATTAACTCTTATAGAATTATACAGAAGAAAGACGTGTTGAAGTATTATTTGCCCCAATTTCCGTCATTTCTTTCGGACGAGGTTTTCTTTATCTAGCGGCGAGCGGAAGTGATTTAGAAAGGGTTTTGTTTTCTGTTGCTACTGAAAAACAATTGCTTAGTAAAGACAATGTCCGAAAAGTTTACCGTCACTTACTAGTGCTCTCGGGATCTTGATGAAAATAATTTTTATTGTTTGATTTTGGGAGGGCAGGGGGTTACAAAATACTGATAATTTTTTGGTTCCCTCTTGGCAGAGCCTCGAACTCTCTGTCTAGGCATATTTAGTAGATGTCTGGGGATAGGGACGTTTTGGTAGCCGGGTAGGGAAGTGTTTATTAAACATGCCACCAAGTGAATCTTCGTTTCTTTCCAAGAGGCGCTAGAGTTCAGGCAAAAGCAAAAGCGAACCACAAATATTTAATCCCAGGGTCTTAACACCTGGCACAGCTCTAGACCGATCCATACGCATAATTCGATGTCATTTCAACCTCATTACATAATAAAAATAAAAGAATCTCCGCAATTTACAAACTTTTTAGAGTCGGCTTCTCAAGTTTTCGTACGATTTTTTCACTTGACCTTATGAAGGGAGATTGCAGTCTCTGGAACTTTTGTCCAGCGTGACACGGGCATCCGAAGGCAAAGCTGAAAATGAACGAAGTAAAGGTGCGCCTGGCTTCGCGTTCACTAGAACTTGAATTCGCGATCGTTTTCTCATTGGAACACGTGGAACTTGCCAATCGAGATCTCGACACATAACCGAAGCATGAATTAAAAGGGGACAGTGTTATAAACAGTTCAAAAACGAGGTAATCGATTCAGCGATAGCCCGCGAACGGCAGACGTTTCTCCTCGCTCATCGCCGCTGAGGGACGTTTCACGAGGAGAAACGTCTCTCAGTGGCGATGAGCGAGGAGAAACGTCTGCCGTCCGCAGGCTAATTCAGCGATCATCCGTAGATCTTCACATGGTGGCATCGATGGTAATCCGTTTACTGACCTAATTTTGACAAAGTGACCAAGGGTGTTGAGCATGGGGTGTGTTTCATTGTTTCGAATTCGCCACGTTACATGTATATCCGGATTTTGCTCCTACATTAGATGCGCCCCTAGATAAGAAAAGCTTCCGGCTTGTCATCATCCCTTTCCATTACAGGTGTCTGAATGACATCACTTAGCGAATGATTACAATAGCAGCCATCATAATCAGGATACCTGAGAACACACCTCAAAAATTTAATCTGCGAGGAGAAATAAAAGGACACATTCGACCTGTCTCTTGCTGGCTGCCTCAGTTCCAGCGAGAAGCCTGACTATGCCGCGGTATGAGAATCACTGAGGCCTTTCTAGGGTGGAAAACGAGGGAAAGAGAGAAAGCGTGAGAGGAGCCAAGGTTATACACTGTACAGAGGGGTTTCTTTCATCGGTGAGGCCATGTTATGTTAAGAGCGTTCTGACTCCACTCACAACAGTAAGTGTATTTCGGGGAATCAACTGGATAATTAAGCAGTCGCGCGACTAATATGGTACGTGCCGCCGTGAAAGGGGGTTGGTTTCGGTCGCTTTAATCTGGAAATTTCTGTGTGTGTCCTGTGGGATACTGAAAAATAAAACAAGTTTTTGGCAAAGTGCGCAAAGCTCCCTATTACCTTTCCATTACGTTTTGACCAATAAATTCTACAGCTGAACCGGCTAGGCATGGCTCGTTATGCCAGCATCTAAAGCTTGTCGAAGCTTGAGTTGACAAGCAATCGCCAGTCCCGATTGATTGTGACTCCATCACCGTTTGGTATTCTTAATTAGTTGTATCTAAGCGACCGAGTTAAAACACGGTACGTTCGTGTATCATGTGAGAGGTCGAGCTTAACGCGAAACAGGCGCATGGAATAATCTAGATGCCAAACTCATGTTCCACCCTTGTCCACCCTCGACTCCCTCGTGAATTGCAGACAAATTAAAAAAATCAAAACAAAGCAATTCAAACAAAGGGAGATGATGAGTGTTCTCTTCGGTGAATATTTATCGCGCTGTGTACGTGATTTTAGACAATCTAGCCCACCCAGTCTTCGTATTTCTAACGCTTTGAACGTGAGCTGTTCAAGCAAAACTGTAGCCGACGATTTCACGGCTTGTCATAGATTAAGAACTGTTATGTTTGTAGGTGGCGAAATACCTCAAAGCCGCCCGACGGTGTTAAACAAAGGTAAAGCAAATTTACAAATCACAATACAAACGAATTTCGATCCGACCAAAAATTTTTAAAATGTTATTCACTAAGGTACTCAACATATACCAACAACGTGTAAAACTTCGGTGGAAAAAAAGTGCAAAATGAAACTACAAGAACTGAAGTATGAAAAAGGTTAGAGAAAAAAATTGCAGCCTTACTTTGGCTAAAACACTCCGAAATTTCTCTCAAGACTTTCCTTTTGGCAAGGGCGTAATATCAATATTTAGAGAGTGCCATTACAGCTAAACAAATCTAAGTGTTTTCAAGCATTCCCCGAACCCTGGTTACTGGAGAGCTATATAACAAAACACACTAGCGATACACTTCAA